ACATTATGTTAGATTTTTTCTACTATCTTTCCTATTCCTATCCCCATTTCCTTTCATTCCCCTTTGTCTAATCTACTAAACTTGGCTTCTTCCGCTCTCCCACATATCAGTTTAGTTTCCATATATCAGTGAAAACATTCAACATTTGGATTTTTGGAATTGGCTCTTTCACTTAGCATGATATTCTCCAGATCCATCCATTTACTGGCAAATGTCATAAAGTTACTCTTCTTTATAGCTGAGTAATATTCCATTGTGTGTGTATACCATAATTTATTTACACATTCATCTGCTGATGGGCATCTAGGTTGCGTCCATAACTTAGCTATTGTGAACTCTGCTGCTATGAACACTGACGTGGCTAATCAGTGTAGTATGCTGATTTTAAACTTTTTGGATATATGCTGAGGAGCAGGAAAACTGGAATAACTGGGTCAAATGGTGGTTCCATTTGTATGTGTTTTGTTGCTGTTGTTTTGGTTTATTTATTTATTGGTACCAGGGATTGAACTCAGGGGCACTTGACCAGTAAGCCACATTCCCCAGCCCTCTTCTATATTTTAGAGACAGAGTCTCACTGAGTTGCTTAGTTGCTTCGCTTTTGTTGAAGCTGGTTTTGAACTCTCGATCCTCCTGCCTCAGCCTCCTAGGCTGCTAGGATTACAGGCATGTGCCACTGCACCTGGCCATTTGTATGTGCTTTTTAACTGTTTGAAAATTATTCTCTGGTATGAAGCAGAGTAAATGGTTTCCTATTTCAGTTCTGCTTTCCCTGGATGAAGAGAGATTTCTAGTATGGGCAGCTTGGCCTGAGTTTCCCTTTCTAGGCATCTGCCTTCTCCCTGGTCACCAGAATATCTGAAGCCTCATGTGGTCCCGGGGCAATGTCCCTCAGTGCCTTGAGTGATGGTTCTCAGGGTTCTCCCTGCTCCAAGGCAAAAGACCCTCCTTCTCTTTCCATATCCATCTCCAGTGTCTGCTCTGCGTGGCTTTTGTGTCTCAGGCGTAGCATCCCCCCAGCACAGGGTCTGAGCCTTACCCCACCTGCCCCTCCTCCTCACATCTGCTTGCTGGGCTGCCCAGAACAGAGCTCCAGCCCAGCTGCCCACAAAAAATACCCCAAGGCATAGCAAACACTCCACAGAGGGGAGCCAGCTGGTATGATCTGAATTGGGAAGCAGTCTCCCCACAGGTGACACCTCTCCCCCAACCCCATCATCTCCATTGCCCATTTCAAAATAAGAAAGAGTCATAGATCTTTGGTATCAATCAAAGACCCTGCCAAGGCATATACATTTTGAATTCTTTCTCTCCAAATTACAGAAGGAAAGAAACACTTGGCTTCCTGGTAAGAGAACTCTAGTCACTAGCAAGAGGCCCGAAGAGGTCCAGATCTGTTTGTTTTGAGGAGAAGTGGGAGGAGAAAATGAAAGAGAGAGACTTTAAAGTGGTTTGTTGATTTAGGGTATCTCAGAAAGTTATGTTGGAAGACTATTTATAATTTGCCTGAGTGCCTCTCCACGTCCAAGGCCTCCTTTGAGGCCTTCCTGATTTCTTATTCCATATGCAAGTATCTACAATAAAGCGAGGCCCATCTTATGGGTAGATTTTGGGGTTGGCCAACCCTAGCTGGTACCTGCTCTGCTCAATTGTGACAGTCAGCTGACTGGTTGGAGGAAGATAGACCAGTGGGGTTTGGGGGGAACAGACAGACCAGCTGATTGGTTGGGAGACAGAGATCAGCTGATTGGCTGGAAGACATATAGATCAGCTGATTGGTTGGGAGACAGACAGATTAGCTGATTGGTTGGGAGGCAGACAGATTAGCTGATTGTTTGGGAGGCAGACAGATCAGCTGATTGGTTGGGAGGCAGACAGATCAGCTGATTGGCCAGGGTAAGACAGACCAGCCAATTGGTTGGAAAAAGAAGTCATAAACCCTTCCAAAAGAATTTACAATCAAAACTTCAGTTTTGAGATTTTTAGGGTCCATGAGTTGGGGGATAAGATTTGAAACTTCAATCCTGAGTGTGTTTAATGCCAATTAAATGCTGCCAGGGTTAAATAGGACTTGGAATGTATGTACATTTTAATGGAAAAATAGAAATGGGATTACAGCATACATAGTATTGGGGGGTCTGCTTTTATTCTCAACAAGTTAGTCAACATCTTTTGACCTAAAGAACTGTTTCTACAGTATTGTTTTTAATAATTGAATAGCATTCCACTGAATGACTTTGCCACAGTATACTGAACTATGTTGGATATTTTAAATGTTCTGGCATTGGTTGAGAATTAGGAGGAAAGAACACCCTTGTAGCTGAATCTTTGCACAGCCATAGTTACTTATCAGGATCGACTTAGAGGAATGGAACTGCAGAACAAAAGGGTCTTCTGATGTTTAGCCAACTCTGCCCCAATTTTCCTCAACATCCCTGATATTTTCATTCATTCTTCTTCTTTTGTTTTTGCCAATTGGGTGGCAAAAGAAAGCATTCATTCTTTAGTTTTGCATTTGCTTTATTACTAATGAAAATGAATATTGGGGGGCATTGCTCAGTCATTCATGGTTCTTTTTGGATGTACTTGAATCATGTGCTTATTTCTATTTCCCTTGGTGTGGCTATTTTTAAATATCATGGGTTTGATGTATTCATTTTGGTCACAATTGTTTTAGCTTGTTATTTATGTTTCATTATTATAGGGGTTTTAAAGCCACATAAAGGCTTTAAATTTCATGCTTTCAAATCTTTATGATTTGAAAAATCTTTTCTTTTTTAACATTGGTGATTGATCCCAGGGCCTTATGCATGCTAGGCAAGCACCCTACCACTGAACCACACCCATAGCCCCCAAACCTTTGTAAATCTTGATCACTTTTTAGAATCATTTATTTATTTATTTATTTTTATGTGGTTCTGAGGATCGAACCCAGTGCCTCACACGTGCTAGACAAGCACTCTGCCACTAAGCCACAACCCCAGTCCTCTTTATCACTTTTGCGTTTGGGATGTGTTTGATAACTCTTCTCCAGTCCAGGGTGATGTAATTTATTTTCTTCCACTGATTTCCTGACCTTGTTTTCCACACTTGAATCTTTCATCTATCTGCAAGTTGTTTTATTTGAGATGGGACTTCATTTGGGTGTTTGGTGTGCCTTTTTTTTTTTTTTTTGAGATGAAGTTCTAACTCTTATGAACTGTCAATTATCCTGATACCACTTATTAAATGTCTGAACTCTTTCATCACTGATTGGCAGATGCTGTTTTGTCATATAATAAATTTTTAATATTCTGTTTCTAGATATTATATTTTGTTCCATTAATCTATCTATTCTTATACCAATAGGTGCTAATTTAATTACCATAGCTCTATACTACCTTCAAAGACCTAGTAAGGGAAATATCTCATTTTTTAAAATATATATTTTTTAGTTGTAGATAGATACAATACCTTTATTTTATTTGTTTATTTTATGTGCTGCTGAGGATCAAACCCAGTGCCTCATATGTACTAGGCAAGCACACTACCACTGAGCCACATTTTTATTCTTTTTTTAAAAAAATATTTATTTTTTAGTTGTAGTTGGACACAATACCCTTATTTTATTTATTTATTTTTATGTGGTGCTGAGGATCAAACCCAGGGTCTTGCACATGCTAGGCAAGTGCTCCGCCACTGAGCTACAACCCCAGCCCTCATTTTTATTCTCTTTTAAAAGAATACGTTATATATATATATATATATATCATGGTAACTGCACAAATAAATGCTATTTCTTTCAAATAGACTCAATTTGTTAAATTTTAAAAAGATCTGGTTGGTATTTTGATTAGAATTGCATTTATTTTTCTAACACTTGTTATTAAAATATTGATTCAATCCAGCAATATGTCTCTTCAATTATTTATCTTCAGTATAGTTTGTTTTCTCTATGTAGCTTACTCATATTTTTATTTTTTTCATGATTTTAATTGCTGTTATGCTTTTCTCTCTATTGCATATCCTTATCTGTTGATACCAATATATGGGAAAGCACTTAAGCTACTTGTTTTCTAGTTCTGACAATATTCATCCTGGTGATTCTCTTAGACTTCTCTTGTTTGAACTCTAAATCATTAAAATGTTATCTTCTCTTGATGAGGAAATATCTTTATTTATGTCTTTTTTGCATATGCAAAATAACTATAAGTAAAAAGAGAGGCAACTGAGTTTAAAGGAAGTGCCTCTGGTACTTAACCTTGGGCTGTTGCCATATTTAAAATACTTCCATGGAAATAGTTTCAATATATTGAGAGGTTTTGAATATCCGGACTGCATGTTGAATTCTACCAAATGTTTCAGAGACATTTATTGAGATGTTATACGACTCTGTTCCTTGGAATATCACTGTGAGGAATGATAATATAGGGCTACCATATCGTATTTGATTATGTTTTCTCTTGCTCTATCATAGTTTTCTTAGACTTCATTTGTATGTCTATAATAGTATTTTCGATTTCTGAAGAATCCATCCTTTTCAGACTCCATATGTAAAAACCTGGACAGTACCAAGTCCTCATGCACACTTGCATAGTGACCATCAGCCTGTCCTTTCCCATCACCAACCGTTCTCCCATGTTAACTGTTAACCCACATATGCCAATTTGCTCCTGGGGCAAAGAGAACAAGTCAGGATCTCTAGTCAATATTCTGGGGACTTCTCTGGTTGACCTGAGCCAACCTGGAGATCCCTTTGCTACCTGGAGCAGAGGCCCAGGTGAAGTGCTGGGGTCTTCTTGTCCTGAACACTTGCTCCAGCTTCCCCTAAAGATTTCTCCTCGGGGTTCCTTCCACACTTACTGCTTTAGCTTGTGCAGACTCAGGCACCTGATGTTGTATTTTCCATGAAGGTTTTGACCAGGGCATGGGCAGAAGTGAACTAAAGGTTAAAAGAACATTTCAGAAGAGCTAGAAGCTTCCTGACCACACAAGCCCTGCTCCTTGTGCTCAACACTCACCTGGGGCCTTGAGTTCAGCATCGATGAAGGTAAGCAGTTCCTGGTAGATGCTGCAGTAAGGAACAGGCCAGGTCAGGAATCGGTGATAGGTTCTGGCTGCCTTCAGAAGGAGATCTGAGTCTGGTGGGAAGTGTGGGGTCTAGGACAGACAAGGGGTAGCAAGAGAGATGCAGGTGAGAAAAAAAAAAAACTCACTGATATTCCAGGACAGCTTCTTCTCCCTTTCTGGAATGTTCTACAAAGGATGATCATTTCCAGGGAGCAGTGTGTTGCAGAACAAGATTAGGAAGAATGAGAAATGAGTTACAGGGAGTGAGTCACAGATGGGCAAGATGGCACCCAGGGCCTTGTTTTGACCAGACACAGTTTACCCAAACTTGAGAGAGCCTCTCTGCAAAGTTGCCACCTGAAGGTCATTGTACCCTGTGCATGGTTGCCACTTATTTTGGAGAAGGATCTTCCATCCTGTAGTTAAACATCCTCACTACAGGCAAGTGTTTATGCTTTGGGTAGAATGAATCCATGTACACGGTTATTTTGGTCACCAGTCTGGTGAATATGAGAGATGATCACACTGGGTGAAAGTGACCACTGGGGTCAAAATTGAGGTGGACACAAAATATCTCCATGGAATCTCTCTTGTGGTTGATGAATACACTGTCACAGCAGTTCCTCTATGGAAGCCCAGAGATGCCAGGCACAAGGATAGCTACAAGGAATTACTAGAGGCCCCTCAAGATGGCAGCTCTGAAGACATCAGAAGGTCAAACTCTATCTCAAGATAAAAACCTAGAGTTTCTCTCTCTGTTGATCCTCAGAGGAGTGAGCACTGTGACCCTGACAGAAGTTGCTCATCCTTATCCTTCCTTCTCCTCTCCTCCCTCTCCTGCGTGGGCCCATGTGAACTTACACAGAGGACAGTGGAATAGAAGAGTAGAGCCAGTGGGGTGAGGAGGTCATAGGTACCCTTCTCTTGGACCTGTGGAGAGGATGGAGAGGTCAAATGCAGCATTCTCATGGCCCATTCTGGAACTCAGAGGGGTTGGAGGCACAGAAAACTCTCCCACTCTTTCTTCTGTGCTGGATGAAATTTAGACTTTTCCTTCTCTTTACTTTGGATAGATGATGCACCTGCCACAACTCCTATTCAATCCCTTCTACCAAACTCTGCCCTGTTCCTACAGGAGTGTTGGTCCTCTTTATTTGGGTTTATAAGTCCAGCACCTCAGAGGCAATTTAGTGCTTAGGCTGGCTTGCTTGGGATCACAGTATGAAAAGCACCAGGTAATGGTAATGCCAGAACGGTAACCTTAGATGTCTTGATAAATGAAGACTTTCTTTTTTATAGAGGGAGCCAACTGAAGAAAAATCACATGTTTTCCAAATTCAATCATTCACTAAAAAATAAAAATAAAAACATAAAAAAAGAGAATTCTTTATAAAAGAGCCAGAATCCTCCTTTGGGATTCACAGATGTTCTGGAAGCCTCGTCCAGCTCAGCCCGGCATGCATTCCTTGGTCATAAAAGCCATGAACTGTCAAAGGAGGCCTCAGTTTCCCTTCCCAAATGGCCTTCTCTTTCTTCTCTTCTATGCCTTTGTTCTTATGGGGTCTTTTCAGAAAAGGGATTGGGTTAAGCTTCCTCCCTCCTTTCTAGTCTATTGCTGGACTTACAAGCAATGTCAGTGCCAAGAGGCTTCAGCTCAGGTCTCTGGATCCCCTGTTCACACTAGAGAGAACACACCCCTTTCCAGATACCCTCAATGCATCAGCATCCAGACATAAGATTTCTCAATTCTACCACGCCAAACCCAGAGCTCTGCCTTTGATGGTGCTAGGGGACACCCTCACCTCTCGGGTTTTCTGCAGGATCTGCTCCAGGAGGATGAGGAAGTGGCCCGGGTCCCTGCTGACCAGCTCCTGAAGGCTCCAGCAATTCAGACACAGCCCCGCTAGAAAGGGAGTAAAAAGAGGCAAGTGATCAGCTCAGGTCTCTTCTGGCCACCCTCAGTCAGGAGCTATAGAGAGGGGGGATCTATACTGGGACATTCTTCTCTTGGGGATGGCACTGGAACATTCCTTTCTAAAGTGAGACAGCCTTCGTGAGCACGCTGAACCAATGTGCTCCCCTACCCCATCGAGACATGATGACCCATTTCCTATTCCTGCACAAGAGGCTCAAGAGCACAGATTGGAGACATGGGCTGGGATCCCCTTAGAGGCCAATGGACTTGAGGTCACTCTGCCCCTGCACCTCTGGGGAGCATTGGTGCTCCATCTCCCCTGCTTTCCTGCAATGTGTGCTGGTGCCGATGAGGGTGGAATAAATAGAGTCAGTCACTGTGGAATAAATAGAGGAGCCACAACCAGCTCCACCCTAAGACCCAAGAAGGTATCTGTGACAATCATGGAGTTTCCCTGAACTGCCTGGTAATGGAACCCAGGAAGGGGAAGCTAAATTCATTCATAGCTCAAAAGCTATAATGAGCACTTTGTTGCTTTAACTTCCTCAGACTTTCTTAGTTGGTTTGTCTCTGTTTCCCTGAAGTCAACAAGGGTAAACCCCTAAAAATGAAATGGTGTGGTCACAGGAATTAAGGGCGGTTATATGTCAGGGGTTGGGGAAAAGGAGATTAGGAAGGGTGGATGTGTATTGACAGTACATTTCATGGAATTTAAACTCCATGTCTCCTTATGTGCATGGACTCCTTCTAAAGGCCAGGAGATCCCTAAACACAGGTTTTCGTAGAACTTGCCAAAGTCAGATCTTTTCACATTCTTTGACTTAACAATGCTCCTCAACTCTGCAAGCTTAGGCCCCATCAAAACTTGGGCAGTAGGCAAGAAGGGAAGTTTTTATTTTACTGACCACCTACTATGTGCCAATGTGATGCTACTTTGCCTTTGCATATATTATCTCCTTTGAATGTCCCAAGCACCCTTCAGAAATGTGAGTCCTGTTATCATCATTCCCATTTTACAGATAAGATAAGTGGAGTCCTGAAATGATAGGTAGCTTGCACAAGGATGTACAGCCAATTAAAGACAGTTTTAATGCAGATCGGTCTAATTCTGAAGGCCAGGGATAAGCTCCATGGAGGTGACATTGGAGTTGGGACGTGCATGAGAAGGAGCCAGCTATGCACATTCTTAGGGAAGAATTCCAGGCAGCAGGTGCAAAGGTCCTGAAATGGGAAGAAACCAGGTGTGTTTAAGAACCAGCAGGGATCGATCTCATAGAGTAGGTAGAGAGGCAAGCAGACACAGATGTGAAAAATCTTCACTAGAATAAGGAATTCTTACAACTAGGCACCAACCACAGAGATACATGTGCCCCAGCCTGCAGATTCCCCAGTTCTCAGGCCTGGGAAGCAGGGAGCATAGAGGCCTCTCATCCTTGAAGCTCTGCTGAGTTTCTCCCTCGTTCTACAGGTTGGAGGAGGGTAGGGCTGTGGAAGGAACTAGAAACAAGTGAGCAGGAGAATCTGGGGGAGAACTGCCTGTGAATTCCTGGCTGCTCTTTTGGAATCAGTAGCTGGGGTGTTTCTAAGCGATTCCAAACCTGTGCTTCTAGCACATGCTGAGGAAGCGAGATAGCACCTGAGTAGGATGAGGAAGCGTCAAGGGAGAAAGGAGACAGAGCTGCATGCTGCAGCTCCTGCCCAGGTGAAGTCTAGGGATTTGCTCAAGTCACACAGGATCTGAACAGAATCCGAGGCAGCTCAGTGGGAGAGCGCGCTTGCCCAGCCCAGATGAGGCTCTGAGCGTGAACCAGAATCTGCCAGCTTCCATGCTTGGCCCAGGGCTCAAAACCGCCTCTGAGGCCCCCCTGGGTCCTCAGAACACCTCCCCAGCTCCCTCAGCCCTACCTGACCAGGAAGTGGTGCTGCGGCCCAGGCTGAGTCCATGCAGGCAACGCTCCAGGGCATGCTGGATGCGGTCCTCCGTGCACGTCGTGGCCCCTGGCTGCATCCTGAGTCATTGCCTGTGTGGGGAAACAGATGCCAGGTCAGCCTGTTGAGCCCCCGTCTCAGAGAATACGAGGCTGGTCCCTGAGTCCAGCAGGGCAGCACCCGGCCCAGGAGGGCACTCCAAGTCCAGTGCGATCCGCCCACTGTAGCTCGGGGACTGTGTGGGCACAGCTCTAGAGGCCTTAGTGCGGCCTCCAGGGCAGAAACAGTGCCATCAAAACTTGGGTAGTAGGCAAGAAGGGAAATTTTTATTTTATTGACCACCTACTATGTGCCAATATGATGCTACTTTGCCTTTGCATATATTATCTCCTTTGTTCCAAGCTCCCTTCAGAAATGTGAGTCCTGTTATCATCATTCCCATTTTAACAGACAAGACAAGTGGAGTCCTGAAAGGATCGGCCACATCTGAGCAGCAGGAGCAGCCACCCTGTGACTGAAGAGCACAAAGGCATAGGAAGTGAAAGGCCAAGTGCCCAGGGAATGCCCACACCACGGCCAGACCCTAGAGGTAGGGGGTGCAGACTCTAGGGCAGGAGGATCTCAACAAGAAAATCCAAATCACTTGGGGGAGATTTTCTGAATTTCCAGGCCTGAATCCCCCCAATCCTACAGGGATGGGGGTGGTCATAGGATCTCCTTCCACATGTGGGGTGTCAGGGCAGGGAATGTCCTCATACAAATCCCCATTCCCATCCTGCCAACCTCGGCACGGGTCACGGGCACCTGGGTCCTCTCTGCTGTCACCCTGTGTTTAGACATTTTTTTTTCTTTCCTTTCTCTGAGGCTTCACGATGTCACCAACTATCCAAAGTCCTTGCCTAGTCCACCTTCCCTATTCTCCTGGGAGGAGGGGACTTCAGGGGCTTTAGTATCGCATGGGGAACGCAGGGCCCCCAGCAGGGTCAGCCCAGAGTCTTGGATTCGGGTGAGGGTTCCCCGAATCCCTCAGAGGACATGACATGCATTTTGACACCGTGATTCATTCGGGCTCTGGTATCCAACAGGCCAGGACTCCAATCTGGACTCTGATGTTGGCTGGTCGTGAGATTTGGGGCAAATTCTTTAACGCTTTCCAAACCTCGGTTTGCTTATCTATCAAATGGGGATGATGATGATGATGATGATGGTGCCAATCTCTCGGGGCTGTTGGGAAACTAAATGTCACAGTGGATGTCATGAGCTCCCACTGCATCAGGCTCTCATGCTATATATAGTTCTTTGCAGGGGTTGTCCCCGTGCCTGGGAATTTCATTGCATTCAGCTCTTTGGGGTAGATTTTGTCACTGGCCAGTCAGGCCATTTCATGGGGAAGCAGGGGAAGTGGCAGGGCCCGTTCTGTGGATCTGGGGACTGACCAGGAAACCAGAAGAGGAAGCTTAGAGCCCAGAGCTGAGCCATGCAAATGACATGCAAAGAGATGCAAGCTCCTAACTCAGGACCGCAGCGTTCCGATCATGGAGTCACCTCGTAGGCAAATCTTTCTACTTCTCTAGCCTGGTGGGAACCACATGCCCAGGAAACAAATAAGCCCTATTGTGAGGTGTCGAGCATCACTCCCTTGATGTCCCCAGGGGGCTACGCATTATGAAATGTGGATGGTACAGTGATGGACACATAGAACCAGTCTGTCATTGATTTCTTGACCAACTACTATGTGCCACGGATACAGCACTGAACAGAGAGGCCTAGACATTCTGTTTTGACTCAGACATTCACAGTTAAACAAAGAAAGAGGAGACCCCGTAGCACAGTGAAACAGGCTCTGAAGAAAAGATATTTCTGGAAGGAGGCCAGATGAGAAGGCCACTCCTGCTTCTTGTGGGTCTTGGAAGAGGGACACGTTTGCTTCTGGGGAAAATGAGGGGAAGAGTATTCCAGAAAGAGGAGATAGCATGTCAAGATCTGGGTGCAGGGATCAGCGTGCCAAGGACCTAGACCCAGGAGCAAAGAGGCTGGGGTGCTGGGCTGGCCTCCGACACAGCCTGAACTTCCAGGTCTCTGAAATTCCAAGTCCCTAAACTTCTAGGTCCTGTACCTCTGCTGACAGCCAGAGTGGGAAGGGGTTCCTTCAAGGCCAAGGTATCAGCTGGACTTCTGTCTTCCCAAATTGTGGCTGAGGTCCCACTCCAAGGACAAAGGTGCTACCTGCCCAACATTCCAAAGTCCTCAGAGGCATAGTGGACTGTGGGGATGGGGGATGTAATCACCCTAGTGGGCTTGAAGGGGGGTGTTAGTCCAGAATCAACAAAGAGACACCTGCATCCTGTCATTATGAGATTAGGAAGATTAAAAACAGGGTTGTCCGCCACCTTGGAAGACCCTCCTTTATCCCCCCCCCCAGAGCCAAGAGCCAGGGAGTGGGGGCTTTAAGAGAATCCCTTACACAGACTGGGCTGCCCACCATGTGAGGGCATGGCTCTTCAGATCAATATCTACTTAGCAAATTTGCTCACCAGCTCCTATGCTACCTGGAGAAGGGGCAACTTGTATATCCACTGTAGGGCAAGTCAAAGATGTGAGTTCCTCATCATGGTGCAGGAGTGAGTACCAAGAAAAAGAAAAAAAAAAAAAAAGGTGCATTTGAACAGTTTTTGCTGCTACTTTACTCCAGAGGGCGGAGGGAAATCCAGCAGTCAGAGTCTGAAGCTGGATCCCCTTTGTGGGGTGCTGGTGGAGCGAAAGGAACAGGTGAGCAATTAGTAGCACAGAGAAGTTAAACAACTTGCTTAAGGTCACACAACCAGGAGGTGGACAAAGCCAAGACCCAAACCCAGGGAGTCTGGGTTCTTCCAGTTCATGGTAACGCTGCGTTGCAACCATCACCGTCCACGGTCCCTCAGATACAGTTACTAGAAAAACAAAAGCAATTCCCAAATTGTCCCAAGACAGCCTCAGGTCCTTTTGCACCCCAACTCAATGACCATGAGTTTGCTTTAAGAGGTTCAGAATCGCAGGATGCAGGGGCGCACACCTGTAATCCCAGCTACCCTGCAGGCTGGGGTAGGAGGATCACAAGTTCAAGGCCAGCCTCAGCCATTTTAGCAAGGCCCTAAGCAATTTAGTGAGGCCCTGTCTCAAAATAAAAACTAAAAATAAAAAGGACTGGGAATAGAGCTCAGGGGTCAAGTGCCACTGGGTTCTATCACCGGTATCCTCCCTCCCCCCTCAAAAAAAAAAAAAAAGAGGTTTAGAATCTGCCAGGCGTGCATGGTGGCACAAGCCTGTAATCCCAACTACACAGGAGGCTGAAGCAGGAGGATGGCAAGTTCAAGGCCAGCCGGTGCAAGTTAGCAATACCCATCTCAAAATAGAAAAGGGCTACAGAGTAGCTCGGTGGTAGGGCATTCCTGGGTTCAAGTCTCAGTAAAATAAAATTAAATAAATGAATAAATAAAATGCAGACTCTCCGTTGCTGGGATCAGGAACCCCACTGTGTCTGTCTACACCAGCTGCTGAGCTCAGCGCCTGAGAGAGACCCAGAGCTCCCAAGTGTGAGCCAGAGAGCAAACACCCAGCAGTCTATGGTGGCATGAAGGGGCAGTAATGACCGTGGTGGCATGAAGGGCCCTGGTGTCTCTATCCTGGAGCATGGGGCTGAACTATGTGAGCTGGGGGTCAAGTCATCCTCCACCCAGCCCCTCGCGTGATGGACATGCCACGAGGCAGGCAGGCATGAGTCACCTGTGTGTCCCACATGGTCATGATGCAAATTAATTCGAGACACAAATGACACTACTTCTGCCACACCCCTGTCCTTAAGGGCGCCAGAACGCACTGTCCTAGAGCCGCTGCTAGCACCAGTCCTAGAGGACAACAGCTATCCGCCCCCCCACCCCAGGGCCCTCTCTGACACCTGCTGGCCCAGCCTCCCTCCTGTCCCACGTAATGGGGAAAAAAATCAAGGCCTCCTCCGTAGAAGAGCTGGATACCCTCAGGACCCCGGGGCAAAAAGTTCCTGAAGTGCCAGCCTCCCTGGCATCTTGGGGCCATCAAGAGCTTGACCAAAGAGCTCAGGGTCAGGACTTGCTGGGGCTCTGAGCTTGGGGAGCCGGAGGGAGGGTGGGAAAGGGAGCCCAGTGGAGGGCCCTCTCGGCTGAGCTGTGGCCTGGCCCTTGGCACACTCATTTCCTCCTGGTGAGTCAGCCGGTCATCACTCATTCCTTGTGACCCGTCCCCTCTGGCTCTGGGGAGGAAGTGACAAGGGAGGACGGAGGATGGGATTCCCCTCTCTTCAGGATGAAGCCTCTTTTCAAAAGTCCTGACAAGCAAGGCCCGGCCTGGCCCTGGCACCCCACTCCCACCCCCACCCACCTCTTTGAAGAGGAGCCCCCCTCCCCCATTGTGAAATTCCAGCTGCTGCCGGGAATGGCCCCCAGCACCACCTCCAGGGGCAGTGTTGAAACATGGAACCACGGAGCCTGCCCCACCTTAAGTTCCTCTTCTGAGCCAGCACAGAGGACTCGGAGTCCTCCTGACTGGGCACCCTGAAGAGGGCAGATCGACTTGGCGTTGGGGGGTGGGTTTGCCGCTCTGCTTCTCCCGCCCCTTCACGGGTTGACACAACTCCATGAGGTAGGCCCAAGGCTGGTCAGAGGGGTGGGCTCTGGGCCGACTTCCTGTGGCAGCCCCCACGAGGCAAAGAAGAGGGCTTCTCTTTTTTTGGGGGGGTGTCTTCTCAAAGTGCTAAAGAGGGAGAAATTGGACCATCGACATCTCCTAGGGCAGGAGGAATTTCTGGCCAGCACCTCCCACTGCTTTCTTGGTGTTCTGGAACATTCCAGGTTCATGTTTTACAGCTCTGGTCCCCACAGGGAGCAGGGGACCAAAATGGATCGATCTATATATTAAAAAATGAATGGCATTATGAATGAGGTCTGTAATCAATCACACTGAAAGAGATAGGGAAGAAAATGACTGACCTAAGTAACCTCAGGGTGGTCAGGGTTTGGAGAGGCGGTGACCCCCAAAGCCCTGCTCATGCAGGAATAGGCAGAGGGAAAGAATGATTAGA